AATTACCTTCTACCTGACGCAGAAGAGCTCTGCTAAGGGCCAAGGGAAGAGGTACAAGTTGGTTTGGTTGGTCGGATTTGTTGTTTGACTTTGGTTGTTGGGGTTGGGTGGTTGGGGTTTTTTTTGCAACAATTCAGGCAAAATTTTCTTCTTGACTGACAAGGCTAAAACGCAGCTTCATAGACTTAAATGAAAGGGAAGAAGCTGAATGATTTGAGCTAATACTACACGTGCTTCTCAAGTGCCTCTAGACTTGGGAAAAACGCACGCAAGAGCTGTCAGCAAGGATGTTATCCATAGATCACAGAGACTGCATGACCTCAGGAGAGGTCTCAACCAGCTTTACATACTGAACGAAGCAGGGAAGTTAGAACACAGTGTATTCCCAAAGCTGTCTGGAGGAGTGGTGGAAAAATCCTTCACACTGCAAGCACTTAATTTACATTGATAAATCTCGATGGCAAAATGAATCGGAAAAGAATTACAGAGCTTGAATGATTATGAGTGAATTAAAGAGCGGATCTGGGTTCACGGGGCTGTCAGCTCTCCGACCACAGACACTGCGTGCAGACAACTCAAGCAGCGCACGGCTGAGTATCTCATCTTAAATTGGCTATGAGATATGACTGCTCACATTTCCTCCCGCTGGAACTCACTGGGTCCTCAGCGTTGTGCTTAAATATCTGAAGTGAGAGGAAAAAGGAGAGCACTGACTCCACGCACAAGAATTAACACACTGAAGAGTACAGCACCGCTCAGCTGCTACAGCATCAGCTTTTAGTCTCTCTCCCTTCCAGAAAGCACCTATGATATATGAAAAATCACCGCTGAAATGCTGTTAGTTCTGGGCTGCAAGGCAGAGATTTTTCCTGGCAATTAACACACAGGAGCAGGAAAGCAACACCTATAAGGAAAGAGCATTGGGATCATAAACATCTGTGCAAAGCATCCACTTTTCAAACATGAAAAGAACAAAACCGCCAGAGCAGACAAATTGATCCTACTGGGATTTGAACACACCATTCCAGGAAATCTGGATACTTGAGACACGGTGCATAGGTTAAAGTCAAAGTTAAGGGGCACATGCATTAAACGTGCAGCCACTCAGACTGCTGAACCTGGACACAAAGGACTGGTGAGCATCAGTCCTAAACCAACACAGCATGCCAACTCCAGGCTCCTTCCAGGACAGGAGAGGATGCCAACGCCTCTGCAGAGGAGACACTGGTGCTGCGGGGATGACTCACCCCTCGCCACCAGCCTCCACCTGATCCTGCAGCCACGGGATTAATGTTGTGTCAGCCCATGCAAAGCGCCACTCAACGCAGAGGTAACAAAGCCACTTTCAGAGATTCACGAGGCAGCAATACAAGATCTTACTGTCTCTATTTTTCCACACTGTCAGAACATACCTTCTTTCCTTACAGAAATGTAGGCTTACACCAGACAGAGCTGAGTCAGGCAGTCAATCTATCAAGGAACGACAATTGTGTTTCCAATTAGAGCAAACAGGTGAAGACATGCAGTACATACATTGCAAAGAAGAATTCAGTGCCTGCTGGAGGTGCTTTTCCCCACTCCAGTCGCAGGCAGCTCTTTCCAGAAAATTCCTTTCAAGCACACGAAAAAGAATAGAGTTTCCCAGAGCACACATTTCTTTGCACAAACACCTAACGAACCTTGAAAACTGAACTCAGTGGAAGCCTGCTGAAAGCATTATCTTGCAGCATGAAAAGATCTCCTTGAACAGGTAGTCTCCTCACTTAAGGGCAACTTCCAGATTTATGGACATGTTCATAGGGAGAATTGGTTTATTTTGCAGCTGCATGTGGGTATCAAGCAACTTTTACAGAAGTACTAAGTGTTTTCAGCAGCCTTATCCATAAAATTCCCTTTAATTCTCACATACTGTGTACAACAAACAGCTCTACGTGGCAGGGTACGCTTTCACCTCATTTAGTAGCTGCAGTATCAACTTGCACTTCTCAGCAGACTGTTTCAACTCATTTCAGATCAAGTTTAGATCAGGATTTTAGTGAAAAAATACTTGAGAGCTTCAGCAAATCTTAACTACACATCTGCAACTTTTACTGGAAATCACCACCTAAACTTTCCTGGCACCCAAGTTCTGAAGGGGGACAATTAAGTAAGAGCACGAGACTAAAATTTCATCATCACAAACACAAAAATTAACAAATATTTAAATAAACCAAAGGGAGGAGGAGACCAAATCTCACATCTCAGCTAATTCTCTGGTAGGAAAGAGAACGTGGCTGAAAGGAGAAACCACAGTACAGCTTTGTAACGCTACAATAACGAAGACAAAATTGGGGGTGAGTTTTTACTAGAGTGACTTTTTGATCTCCTACGTGCGTCTGGATTACTTTCCTTTCAAAATTTTGGCCAGAAGAAGTAGGTTTGGCACGCAAGAAAAACAACTTTCTCTAGAGCGAAGCTGTCACACCGCCCAGTTTCCAACAGCAGGATGCAGAGATCTGAAGCGTCCCAAGAGAGAAGAATCCGTGTGTTCAGAAGACAGTCTTGTCAATGCATCAGGAGGAAGGAGGCAGAAGCTTTCACCTGTGGGAATTACAGGACTTCCAATTTATGGTTATGGCTAATATCACATTTAAGGCTCACATTCCCTGTAGTAAAGTATTTGCATATTAGTAAGCATGCTAAACTATGAGACCAAATAGGACAGATTAAAAGACTTAATCCTATTGCATGAAGTTAAATATGTATGGAAGGGATGTGTTAATACCTGCAAGCAAGAGAGAGCTGATGGTAAGCACAACCGAAAAAGCAGCTACTGGGGGACACCAATGCCATGTAAAGTCTGAGCAGCAAGACAAACCTTTGGCCATTTCGCCTCCCTGCACACCTTCTCTTCCCTCTACAGCATCAGGACCGGAAAGAGAAGCTTCAAGCCATTTTGTCTTGAAAGCCTCAGGGCTTATTCTTTTTAGCACTTGTCAGTTATTTGGCAAGGGTAACTTTGCACGTCTGCAGCCCAACCCCTTCCCTATATCCCATGAGGTAAATTAGAACCAAAGACATCTTAACAAAGCAATTTTTCCTCAAAGTCATAGGAGCACGAGCTCAATCGCACAATGCCAGAATGGATGGGGAGAAGTGGGGACTTTAAAAAGGGCAGGACATGTGAAAACGACCCAACTGACATTGCACAACACCCCAAGGCAGCCCGAGAGCTGCCAGAGCTCCGGAATCCGTAATCAGACCCTTGCTCTGCAGGTGCCCAGCAGCGAAGGCAGAGCTACTGACAAGGGATTCAGGTGAAAACGCTCAGATCCAGTCCGGCTTACTGGCTGACACAGGGCAGCAGTCAGACAGAGCCCGAGCCTGATCTGCTGCCCAGCGTGCGAGACCCCAAGCTCCCACCCCTCAAGTGCTCCCACTCTGCCAGCTCATTTCCAGCGTGAAGCAATAGTTATGAACAAAGACTGCTCACAGCTCCAGCCTCATTGCCCAACACCAACAGACAGTTCGGCCAGCCTAACGTTAACAGCGTGCTGTGAAAAAGCCAGCATTTCAACCAGTGGAGCAATACCACGCAGCAACTGATCCTCTAAAGGCCAAATTGTTCCTTTTCTTTATGAGTAGAGTGGAACCGCTCGCTCCTCAGATGCGGCAACTGGCTAAGGGCAGGCAGCAGGGAACCCGCATGAGCTCTCAGTGACAGCAACCCCGAGAACAATCCTTTCAGGCACTGTAAAAGGCAAAAGATAAGCTCATCTATTTCTCTCAAAACCAGCCTACCAAGTCCCACCCCTCATTTCCAGAAGGGGGGTGTTTCAGGTTGGTGCAAGACCTACGATAACCACATGTTTAACCTCTGGGCGTGCAAGCTCATATTATAAAGGAACAAGATAGGATTGGCATCGCTAATAAAAAAGCATCCAGGTTAAAATTCCTCACTAGGAAGAGGGCAGCCCTACACTTACAGATGGCTCCTGGCAGTGGAAACGCATTTCTTTAAACTTAATGTATGGTGGGGGATGACAGTGGGCTCGGTCACCTGCATTATGCAAGGGGAGACAGAAAAGATGGGTCACGCGTGCGTGTTACGCTACATCAAAGAATCCCTCCGAGCAGGAGGCAAAATAAATAGCTGCAGGAGAGGAAAAAAGCAGGTCTGATTTGAGTGCATATGCTGCCCTTTATTCTTAAAAGCATTACAGACACTAGCTCTGCAATCTGCTCCCATTATGGGAGCATTTCCAGCTGATTACATGCAACGGAACAGAGTTCACATACAACACAGGCTCTACATGCTGGCACTGACTACAGGGGACAGATCTAAACAAAGCTTTTCTGAAAAAGCTGCAAAAAAAATTCAATCATCAAGAGAGAGAAAGCCAAGCAGCATCTCCAGAGGAGAACAGCCAGGAGCTTGGGTTTGTGATGTGTACAGTGTCAGGAGCATCCCCCTCTCCACACACGGCAGCATGTTGGTAGGAGAAAAGGGAAAATGGGAAGGTAACATAAAAACGATGTCACCCACAAGTCCTTCACATTTGCAGCTCACAAACACTACCACACCTTACGACTTTGGCACTTAGCTCAACTGAAGACAAAACTCAGAAGAGGAGGTTTCAGAAGCAAAGAGAATGGAAGATGCTCACTGGAGCAATTTTTAAAAAGAGTTTGCATTTAGCTTCTAACACATGTAACCATGCAAGACGCAGTCTCCACTAGTCCCTTAATAACAGTAGTCTCAAACTGGAGTGCTTACACTTGTCAGGGAGCAAACCCTGACCACCCAACACACAGATGTAGGATTTTACATGAAGTACTGAGGTTGAAAAGCTGCCTTGCAATACGCTTACAAGCCTCTTAATGAGATTTACTAAATACCAGTACTGAACAGCATCCTCCTCTCTTGCATCTGACTAGATGGGGTTTTGAGGAATATGAGCAAAAGGAAGCAAAACGTTCCTGCAGAAATTCAATAAACTGGGCAGCATTATGAATGTCATATGAAACAGCCTGGAGCTGACAATATCACCAAATTGCAAACTGGAACTAGCAGCACTGCTAAGGTAAGCATTCCTCACTCTTCATTTGAAGCAAAGCTCTACTGTGGCCACAGTACTGGAGAAGATACAACTAAGTGGAAGAAAACATAGTATTAAAAACAAAAAAATATCAGATGCAGAAAAAAAACAAATCAGCAGGACACATCTAGAAGGTGCAGGCTCCCAGACTCTGCTGAAGCACAATTCCTTCGCAAGGTGCAGGAGTTTCCCTTGGCCTTCCCTCCATTCAGCACTTCCAGAGAAATGGAAGCAAGCTGTCTGGGCAACCGCAAATTCCTAATCAAAAAATACCAAGCAGCTCACGCTGCAGCACTGAGCTGACTACAGCTGGCAACCTCGCACTGTATTTTCCCTCCCCCTTTTTCTTTTGTGAGATGATTTAACAAGCTACAAAATCCCAAGAGACATGACAATCAACCAACAGAAATAGAGCATCGTGTCTTGAAATGTACACGTCCATCTGCACTGTTCCTTTTTGACAAGACACAAAAAAGGTCCGAGTTTGGAGTAAAAATGTTGCCAAAAGGAACTTGTGCAAAAAAAAAAAAATATTCTGGCAGAGTGCATTTCATTCCCACTGCCCGTCATTCTCCCCGTACGGGGGGAATTGATGCACCAATTAAGTGTTCCAGGATGGCAGAAAATGTGTCACCCTCTGCTAGCAATCTATTCTGCAAAATAACTACGTGTTCATTGTCAGGTGAAATCAACAGAATTAGAACAAGTCAAAGTTACTATTTTTTTCCAGCACCTGCAGTGATCTGATCCCATACACATCTCAGTGGGAATCTGGGATTTCGAGCAGGGAACTTTGCACCTAGCAGCACGTAGGGAAGGTGATACTTTATTTAAACGTGGACGCTCTCCTCCTTGTTAAGCCTTAGATACACTCTATACAGAGAAAATAAACACGCCTTCATGTCTTGCCCCATCTCTCAGTGCCAAACAGACTGCTCAAGAGACCTGTCCTCTCCCTGCTCCGGCCCACGACAGCCAAGCTCAGATGGCCACTTGGCCACCGTGGCCTCCAGCCTAGGCAAAGCCATCTCCACGTCACGCCTTGGCATCATGAAAGCCTGCCAGCCCGCTTGCTTCCACAGCAAACCAGTTCTTCTTTTACAGACTGGTTGCTGCCGAGAATTGATGCCCGACACACCGAACAGCAGCACTTGTGTCTGACCTGGAGTAGATGGGGAGCAGGTAAATAGGCAAAGTGAGGCAGAGCCAGAGAAACAAAGATTCAGAGACTGAATTGCCCCTCCCCTACATCAATTAAAAAGCAAACACAATTATTTTGTACCAATAACCGCATCTAGAGTGCACTTTTGCCTTAGGGAGACTAATAAGAGACAGGGGCTCACACAACATCCCATTTCCCTTGTGACATTGCCAAGATCGGTGACACGAGGGCTTTGAATTTACGCTGGCATTGAAACGCTTAATTGTTCAGACAGATGGGGAGAGGGCACAGCACACGCAGGGAGAGACCCCCACATGCCTGCGGGAGAGGCTTGCGGGGCACCAATCCCAGTACGTCACGACAAGCAGGGAGAAATGTTAAGCTTAAGTAAAAAGGAAATTTGTTGCTCTGATATTCAAGACTGAATGCAACGGGATGGGAGAACAGACCCTCAAGGAAGGGAACATGGGACTGGAGAGTTAAGAGCCACGACAAAGCTTCCACTTAAGCATTTGGAGCAGACTTTGCCCTTCAACACAACCCACATCAGCAGTCAAGCTGTTTCACCCACACAGCTCGATTTAAGCACGTATCAAATCCCCAGTGCTCCGGCTTAATCAGAAGTCCCTGAAGGCTGAAGAAAGACACGGCTGAACAAGAAATTAACTGGCAACAATGCGGGACACAAACAAGGCAACTACATACCACTGCACTGACTCCAGATGAAATTCCTTCTTGATGAGCTTTTTAACTGGATGCCCAAAGAGCAAATAACAGGGAAACAACAGAGCAAAGACAGTAAGGGCAAGAAGGCAAACGGAAAAGTGACCCCACGGCGGCTGGGATGGGGACGTTAAGGACACACCTGAGCCGTCACGTTCAGAAAGCACTGCGATAAGCTCCTGTTCGTCCTTGGTATGCGACAAGCAAACGGAGAAAGCATCAACTTAAGAGAAGACAACAGCTCTCCAGAAAGTTTAAGAGCAGGATGGAAATTAAAAAGGACATCCTTCTACTCCAGAAGTATCTGTCTGGCCCGTTAAAAAGCAGGCACGAGAGCGAATAATCGAGGCAGTGAATTATTTCTGAATCTTGAGATAGCTCCTATAAAGTTGTCATTACTTGTCTATGCTATCTGTAGAACAGAGATAAGGTTAGAGCTTAAAAATATGAGTAAGTCAGCCAGCCAAATGATATGTATTAAATGCTAAGGTTCTCTCCCGGCTAACTGCTTCTGAAGAGCTGTGGGGAAGGCCAGAAGGGCAGGTACCACTCCTCGGAGAGCTGGCAGAGACATCTGTAGACATCACTAACACTGGTAAACTGAATAAATAATGGAACAAGCAGCAAAGAGAGCTCCTTCCCACACATTTCACTGTACACCTTAAGCTTCTAGCTCTGTTTTTATCCACCTGTCAGATTTGATTTTGCCCAAGATGACAAGCCAGCCTCAAACAGCTTTTTTCCTCACCAGGAAAAAAAAAAACCCACCCCATATTTCCTTTGGGGAACTTACACAACATAAGATAATATGTTCCAAATCCCTTAAAATATTTCTGCCCACTTATTTGAAAGCATACAAAAACATTTCTGGGCTTTTTCTCTGTTAAATACAGTTCTCCCAGCCAGGAGCTGCTTTTAGTGGCAGAGCCTTTCCCAGCCTAACATTTTTAATGTACAGAAGGAATGTATATATGTGCAAGTCAGACTACTAAATTATAAACTTATGCAGGGAAAAAACTCTCCATTACTTCAAACAATTTCAGGGTCATTGCAACTCTATCCCAGCAAATAATTATATCTCAGCTGTAACAACTTATACCATATAACTACCAGGATCCTAAGGCATTTCAGACAGCTTCAAAAGCTTATCCACCACCGACAGTGACAGCTATCAAGATGGAAAGCACAATCCTTTTCTCAGACAGTAGCTCTGCACAGCTATCTTGGAGCAGCACTGAAGACCATTAAATTGTACCCAACTTTCCTGAGGAATTTAGAAGAAAAAGCATAAGTCAAGGATGAGTGAACTGTGGGGAAAATCAGAATCTTTAATTACCTGAAACTGAGATAATAGGAGACCAAAAACTCAAGTCTTGTGAAGCAGTTAAGGTCAATGCACAAGAAAAAAAAAAAGAGCAGCTTACTATTTGTTTACACACACAGAGTTTAAGTGCAATGCTTAACATTCAGAAGTTTTCTTCAAGATTCAAATTTTTTTCATTTGTTAAGTGCACCCCAAGAGCCAACATCCACCCCATTTACATTTGCATCTGAAAAACTGGTTCCAGACAATGCCAGCCATACGCCCGGCACATCGCTAAAGCCCGACGAGAGTAGCTCAAGTCACCTCACATTCACAAGGATGAAACTCCGGGCACTACAACAGTGGTAAGAACGAGAAGACCAAGGCAAACAGTGACCTGCTTCTTTTCTGAGTAATTCTGAAGTTGTACGTCTAATCCACAGCATCTTTGGGCTCATTCCTAGGCCTGACAGGAATGTGGGGCTGGGCGCCTCACAGCAGCTCCCCTGAAGCCGCGCAGTTTCCAGGACTAACCTCAGCACAGACACCAAACGCCGCATTCAAATGACGTCCTCCACGTTGGACCATCAGAAAGCCAGCAGTTTGGGTTTTTTTAACCAATTCTCTTCTTTATAGGTCTTTATTTTCGGCGAAAAGGAATGTCAAGGATGCATTCTGTTTCATTCTTTCTGTGAAATAATTCCCACTGAGGTTAAAGGAAATATTCCCAACATGCCAAATCTAGCACTAATTACGCATGTCCTCCAAGTTCTCTGTGTTTTCAGCTGTTTCTAACTCAAATGGAGATGAGCCATAGGAGTTCCGACATATGGCTTCAGACTCCACCAGGCTGAAACGAGGCTGTAAAGAGAGCCCAATGTCACAAGGGGAACACAAGTCATTTTAAATCACTCAAAGGTAGTTACTAACCACACTCCAGGACAAGCAGAAGTCATCCACAAGGGATCACAGGATGAATCGAGGTCATTTAAACGTCTGTTCCATGACAGCCAACGCTTTATCAGTCTTAACACTGCGCAATGAGGAACCGTGGCTTTAGAAAACACTGGGAAGAAGTACTAACAAAAAAAAAAGTCCACGGGACATACAGTCCCTCTCAAGTCATCTGATGGTCTTCACAACCCTTGCAACAGAACCAAGACCAGAATGCAAAGCTCTGAAGTCTCCAGAGTTCAAGGCTTTATTACAGTCTCGTTCCTAAAAACATTGTGCTGATTTCTGAAATTAAGAGCAGTAAAGAAGGGTCTGGGGAGCCCATCTGCATCACTGCACAGGCAGGCTTCAAACCTTACCAAGCACTAGGCTTCTTTAATCGGATTACATTTTAAAACCGGCAATTTACTCCGCGATGCCAAACTTGAAAGGATTTCTCATAGTGTCTTAATTAGGAGGAGGCAGAAGTCATTTCACCTAATTTCCAACCCACTTCAATATTAGATTTGAAAGACCACCTATGACATCTTCAGTCTTGTTTGGCCTGAGCCTGAAAACCAGCAGGCAATAGGATTAGATATAAATCTAATGAGATAATGTATTTGCATAATATTTATGGCACTCACTTTTAGACAGGGTTGCGCTCTTGACTCCTTAGTATGCAGCACTACAGACGCTTCCTTTTAGCTGGAAAAAGCTTGAGGTTTATTTTTAAATTCAATTTCCCTTTAAAAGAAACCATGTGTTTAAGTAACAAGGGAAAAGTGCTAATGTAATTTGGGTTTACCAGACCCAAACAACATGAAGTCAAGCTCTGACTTTCCTTAAACTAAATAACACAGA